CAGTCGACTAAATGGGAGTCCAGTGACATAGCCATTACGCTAACTGCTGGTCCTTCTCTCTTCCTTTCTATGGTCAAATTTAAAAATAATAATAATAATAACACATGGAATTAAATAAATAAATAATTCCTTAAAAAATAATAATAGAATTTTAAAAATAGTAATAAAAGGTTGCTTGCTTTGGGCCAGCAGGTGATGTAGCAGTTCTGTCACTGGACTCCCACATAGCTGACATAGAGTCACAGACCTGGTGGCTTGAAACTTACATAGAGCATGTGTGCAGGCGTGCCCAAGATCCCAGGAGGAGAATGGAGGAGAAGGGATTGTGGCGTGCCCATTCTCCTAAGGTGTGCTTTCTCACTTTCCTTCTCACTGTCTCTGTCTCCCTGTAGGTGCATGCACCCTAAGGTAAAAACCTCTCAAAAAAAAAAAAAAAAAAAAGCTTGTCTTTCTCTGTCTCTTCTCTATTTCTCTCTCTCATGAAAGAAAGTACCTTTTGGGACTAGTAGCGGGCGTAGTTGTTACATCACTGGACTCCCACATAGCCAACTGCAGTTCGAGTCCCTGACCCAGCGACTTAAAACTCACAACAGTCATGTGTATGTCTAAAATCTTGAGAAGAGACTAGAGGAAAAGGGATTGCAATGTGGCCATAGCCCTGGGGAGGGATTTTTCACTTTCTGTCTCTCTGTCTTTCTGATGAGCACACATGTCCTATAGCAAAAATCTCTCTAAAAAAGAAAAAGAAAGAAACTTTTTAAAAAATGTACATGACAGGGGGAACCAGCAGTTAGCGTAATGGCTATGTCGCTGGACTCCCACGTAGTCGACCGCAGTTCGTGTCCCGGACCCGGTGGCTTAAAAAACTCACGCCGGGCGCGTGTGCATGCATGCCCAAGATCCCGAGAGGAGAATGGAGGAGAAGGGATTGCGGCGTGACCATCCCCCCCTGGGGGGCGATTTCTCGCTTTCTGTCTCTATGTCTCTGTCTGTCTGGCGAGCGCACGCGCCCTACAGGGAAAATCTCTCAAAAAAAAAAAAATGTACATGACAGGGATGAGCAGTTGCCCTAATGGCTATGTCGCTGGACTTTCATGTAGCCGACCACGGTTCAAGTCCTGCACTCCAGGTGCATGTGTGTGCGTGCCCAAGATCCCAAGAGGAAAATGGAGGAGAAGGGATTGCGGTGTGGTCATCCCCCCGGGTGGCGATTTCTCACTTTCTGTCTCTCTGCCTTTTTGGTGAGTGCATGTGCCATATAGCAAAAACCTGTCCAAAAAACAAAAAAGAAAGAAAGATGGCCTGGAACCATAAATAGTTCTGCCTAGCAGAGAGGATTAGAGAAGATATATGAAAGAATTTATAAAATAAAATAACCTAGACTTTTCCAGCCC